CATCGGCCTGGAACTCATCGTCCTCCAGACGGTTGACAGTGCCCTGGAAGGAGGAGTAGAGGCCCATGTGCTGGAAGAGGGAGGGCTTGAAGCGGATGACGTCCTTCTGGGTGAGCAGGAGGCGGAAGTGGGTCAGCAGCCAGTCACAGGGCATCTCCTGGTAGAAGAGGAGGAGGAAGCGAGCCAGGCGAGGAAGGTCACTGGAGTGGTAGAGCTTACCGATGTAGCCCAGCTTGGAGAACTCCAGGGTGGCCCAGTTGGAGCCTTCCTGGGAAGCCAGTGCCTTGCGGATGGCCGTCAAGAAGGACTTGGCGCACCACACATCATCCTCAATCATCAGGTAGTAGGAGGAGAGGTTGGCAGCGAAGGCGAGGAGGAAGGCATAGTCCACGTTCTGCTTGGACCTGAACCTCACGCGCTCCTCCGGGTCGTTGTAGTTCCTCTTGAGGCCTTCCAGGGTGGGGTAAAGCTCGTGGGGAGCATGGATAAGCAGGAGCCGGCCCAGGAGGATGTGGGGAGCGAACCTGCGGGCGATGTCAGCAGCCACACGTGCATTCCACCTGGGGTCCGCGTCGGCCAGGTGCACCACCACCACCATTTCCTGCAGCTCCTCCTCCGTCGACTGCTTGAAGAGGGACTGGAGCGTGGCAGGGAGGTAGTAGCCACGCGGCCGCCGCACCGACGCGAGTCCCACCGCCAGGAATTCTGCAAGGTAAAGGAAGGGCATTGGCAGGCTGGGGTTGACCTGGGATGCACCACGGTGAGGTTTTTCTGTGCACGCCACAAGGAAGGGGCTGCAAAAAGCTCTGCATGGCCAACCCACGTGGTTAATGCTATTTATTGCCCTGTGTCTGAGGTCCTTGCTTGAAGCAGAAACCCCAGCGTCTAAGGAGGGTGCCCAAAATCGGCCCACGTGGCAGGGGGAGGACAGGATGAGAAGTCAGTGGCTCCTGTGGAGAAGAAATATTGGGAAAAGCACCTTAAAACCCACCAAATCTGGGGAAGGAACAGTGCAGCAACAGTCTATGGGACAGGGATGGCTACACATCCTGGAAGCATGGTCTTACCCTTCCCAAACCTCACAGAGATGCCGCCACACTGGGATGAAGCCTCCTGCCCTCCCCCAGCCCCGCTCTGGCTGCATGTGCTCAGCGAAGCAGCTTCTCTGGGTGCTGGCCAGCACAGCACCGTGCTCGCACTGCGCTCGTGTCAGTGGGGGCTGGCAGGCGCTGCCCTAAGCACCTTCCCATGACGGCTGCACGTGAGCCGCGTTCTGTGCGCCCACCCAAGAGCGTGACCCGTGCCTCCCACCCTGCAGTTGTCACGAGGGTTCAGCCCCACCATCTCCACCTTCCTGACTGGAAACTCAACCGCAGGGAGATGGATCTCAGCCACCCTCCCCACTGAGATCTGGGAAACCCAAAATGTCTGCAGTCACCCAAGGTTGGAGCACGCAGACTCTCCTCTGCCCCTCCGTCTCCCCAGACAGAGCAGCGACAGCTGGCTAGGGAGGAGCTCACCAGGTATCAGCAGGGCCCCCATCCCCAAAATGCTGGAAGCAGACCCTTCCCCACCCCGCAGCAGCAGTGATGGGGCAGGTCGTGCTGGGGTGTGCAGCTGCAGTGGGAGAGATGCAAACCCAGAGCCCAGCTCAGTCCGGGGTCCCAAGGCCACTCACTTTTGTGGGGGGACTGGGAGCCTGCGAGGAGGTGGTAGGAGGCGTTGTGGAGCGCAGAG